ATGTCTAAGAACTTATTTAACATATTTTGGAATGTCCAATGACTTATTTGTGCCAAAAAATTGTCCAAAGACTTATTTAACATGTTTTGGAAAGTTCAAGGACTTATTTGTTCCAAAAAAAAGTTCAAGGACTTAATCATTCCAAACAAGAAAGTTCATTGGTTTTTATTGTACTTTTCCCTATCTTTAAAGTCAATCTCTACAGCTAAATCGTATTTATAGAACGTTGAAAATGTCCAATTTTATTAATAGACTAATTTATACGACTTAAATTAATAAGACCAAACAATCATACGTCACATGTAAAAGTGTAAAAGTAAGTTTATAGGACGTTTCCAAACGTCTTACCAAATTTTTAAGTACACTTCTAAAATAAAAACGTTTTAGTAATATTTTTATGAAATTATTCGCAAAATTATCTTATAAAAATAAGTGTGTTATATGACTGTGTCTATAAGACATTCTCAAAAACATCATAAATAAATTAATACAACATATTATTACTAAAGTAACTTGAAAACTTATTAAAAAAATACAAAATGGTGTTATAAAAAAATATTGTAACACTTTTACATAGAACGGTCTACTGTTTGTAACTACAAACTTGAAATTTAAAAAACAATCTATTAAAATATTTAGATATTTTTTATTTATATAAACACGATTTTGTTGTAGTCAGTGATAATAATTATTTTTAATGTTTTAAACTTTAAATTTGACCAAAAAATATTTATAGTAAAAAATGTTCAGAAACTCCAAAAAAGCCATTTGTTGGAAAGCATCATTGTCGTAAAACGAATGGTATTTGAAAATGACATAATGTTATTTCGTTTCTAAGGTTAAATATGGTTCGAAAATGACCTAATGGTGTCGGTTTCATGGTTATCTCACTAGAAAGGTGCACATCAAACAACATCGTGAGATTTATATTTTAAAAGTACATAATTAAACGTACTTGTAATCAGTAATACATTTCAATAAACTAAATTATCATTAATTTTAACATGTGGGCTCGGTTTTTTATCTGATTTTCATAATTATCTTACATAACTTAAACTCTGCATACAGTAAGCAAGAAACACTACAGCAATCAGCTTTTCTTATTGTCAAGAAACACGTAATACATTTCACTAAACTAAACACTATACCAGTAAAATTATTGGTTATCAGAAAAATATAATATAAACATATTTTAACTGATAATCCTTAACTGTATAAAGAATACCGTTTTATTTAGCAGCTAAAAATTTTGGTTAAGAAAGTAACATGGAAAACACGTCTTATTGAATAAGGGTTGTCTTATCCATAAAAAACAGTTTACAATTAATTAACCAGTAAAATAAAATAAAATAAAATAAAATATTTAATAAGCAAAATTTAGGAAAATAAAATATGTAATTTGTGTCGGCGTTTAGTGGGAGTGAAAACTGTGGACCAGAAACTTATAGTGTACCCACCGCCACATGATACCCATCAATGTTGTGACCAAAAGACAACTATACTACTTTCGCTATTCCAAATATGTCCCCACACATCAAGAGGTTGGGCATACTATGCACTTCGAATGTAAGGGTAATTTGGTCTTTCTAGTTAATCATGTGATCCAACACCAAAGATAAAGCTTTCTTTCACAACCACTTTTCTCACGTTTCATCTTAAAGCATTTAATATATATAATATTTATACTTCCTTTTTGTTATTAACCTGGATATCTAATCTTTTATGTGAGCCGATTAATTCGAATATGACCACTTTTTTTACAGATAATATGGAGCCACCGTATTTGAACTCTCATTGTCATAAGAAGATTATTCTTTCTTCTTGGATTTGAACCTAAGACATCCAGACATTTTTGACCTTTAAAATACAAGCTCAAACCAATGATACACCACCCTTATAGTTTTTCGATATTTATATTCTTAAAAACAATACTTTGTATGATGGCTATTATGAGGAAGTATGCATCAAATGTCTATTCCAAAGAAGAGAATTTAAGATTTCAATATATATTAAAAAAAGATTGTTGAAACCTAGTTGATATTAAAATTCAAATTATTTATATTATTATAATGCCTTATTGTCAACTTTATTCTTATATTTTATAACAAAACCAAATGTATTTAAAAACTCCCAATTGAAGGAGGGTAAGGGAAGGTAAAATGTACACATGCAGTATATCTTCCCTTATAGGGTTACATATGTTGTTATCTTAAAGACCCACATTTTATAGAACCAACAAAAGAAGGAAAAAAAAATGAAAAGAACAATAATGTCCACAAACAAATAACAAGAACGAAAACATCAAAAAAAAAAATTAATTGACCAGGCCTTAAGTTTCCTCTCTATTCGTTATTAGCTTAGTTACATCTTAGAGTCGCTATAGATTTACTCGGTTGCTAACTTTAAAGCACTATAAAAATCAAATAAAATGCATACAAACTGATTTAAAACACTCGACATTATAATAAAACGTAAAACTGGTCAAAATAGTCATTCATCTTACATAAATTGGTCTCCTAGCCATTCATCTTCTTGATTTATCCAAATATCGCTACATCCACAAGTCTCACACCCGTCACTTGTGGACCTAGCTAAAAGACAATAGACTTGGTTGTCGCAGTTATGAACCTGAGTCAAATTTTATAAATTTTTTTTGTCTTTTAACTGGGTCCATAAATGATGGACGTTAAAATTATAAATATAATGATATTTGATAAATAATTAAAAAAAATAACTAGAAGATCAATGTATATAAAAAAAATGACTGTTTTAACCAACGTAAACTATAAAACTTATGGATTTTTGTGTGCAAGTGGCAAAGTGGTTTAGGTGGAGAATGCATTGCATTGACAACAGGATATAAACGTGGGGACTGATTTGTAAATATAAAAGCTGCAGGGGCCCCACTACACGTGTTCACATAAACACCAACGTTTTCCGTAATACTTTACTGTCTATGCATAGATGGTTGTCACCGACACTATTCTTAAATGACTGATATTAAATAGGCTTATATCCATGTCATTATTATGGTAAACTGTAATAAATATTTTTTTTATTTTATTTTAAAAGATCCTTATAAATATTAGATTTAGAGATTGTTTGGTTGCTATTCCGTTAAGGGGCTGTTTAATTGCGGTTTAACTAGACTTATTTGGATTGTTTATTTATGGCTTATTCGCACAGATCATAACTTAATCACATAGATAGAAATGATGTGTTGTTCTCATTCAACCAACAAATGACAACTCTACCTCTTATTTAAAGCACCACCTCCTTCCCATATGAGACACCCCATCTTCAACCTCTTTATAATTTTTTGTTGTGATGTTCAAATAATTAATATCGGGGGGTAAACCGGTCATTTATGTTATTCAGACTGTTGGTTCAGATAAGAAATAAATAAACAACAACACGCATTTATCCGGACAAACAAATTTATCCATACAGTACTTAATATAAGATTTAGTAAACGGCCTCTAAGTCTTATATAAATAAAGCTGTCTATTTTAAAAATAAATAAATAAAATTTGCTGTAAAAATATTCATCCTCAGTACGATGTTATAAGTTTTTTAAACAAAATTATCAAAATAATCAGTTTTTAAAAGTAAAAAGGATTTTAGTAATATTTTAAAAATAAATATAAAAATAAAAAATAAATTTATTTGTTACGTTTATTTAAGAATGAATAAAAAGGAATAAAATTGGAACCAAGTCAATGTGTTGTATTAAATAATTCGATTGAAAAGTCAAAATTATTATGATTGGAATTTATTGATGCGACATGGTAAAGATGTAAATATTTTATGTTTGATAAAGTAAATTATTAATTAATAATTTAAATAATAAATTAATTGAATTTTGGTAAAAAGTTATAAACAAAAACTAACTAGAGTTACATGACATCATGCCAATATTAAATATCTAAAGGAAAATGTTCAGTTTTATTAAAATATTATTTAAAATAACCGTTAGAAGTTACATCATCTTATGATTAATTGAATGACGCTTTTTCAATAAGTTTTAAAAAATTAGTTTATGACATCATCAATTAGCTAAGCACTTGAAATTGAATCTTGAAATGAACTAAAGAAAACGTAAAACAGAAATGGAAGAAGGTTTGGAGGAGTATTTACCGAACTTCCAGCGAGCTTGAACAAGACCAAGTTCGGAGTTATGATGAAGGTACGGGATAGTGTGCCAAAGGAAATCAGGTTCGGGTTGAAAGTCGGCATCGAAAATGGCCACATACTCACACTCGTTGGCGTAGCGATGTTTCAAACCTTCTTTAAGTGCCCCGGCTTTGTATCCGTTTCGATTATCTCTGACTTGATAGTGTATGTTTACGCCTTTAGCCGCCCACCTTTGACACTCCATTTCCACCAAACCCTAGTTCATGATTCAAATCCGCACGAAAAAATCAATATTTAATTCTAATTCTGAATACTATGTAAAAGATTGTATTATTTGGAAACGACCATCGAGACACGTATACTTCTTTTCATATATATTCAAGGGATCACGTTCTCTACTAATATGGAACCGGGAACATGATTCGTTAAACATAAAACAACAATAAAATAAAGTCATCTATTTGATTTTTTTAATGTATTGAAATAAAACCAACTTTAAAAACCTTAATTTTAAAAAACTAATTTTCAAAACTCCTTATTTATGAATATACCAACTTTACACTAATTCACATTAATGTTATACTAGAAGAGTATTCGCGCAATACAGCGAGACACATCTAGATTTTAATGTTCTATTTTATTATTTGTCTCTGTCGATGTTATAATACAATTTTATGTGTTTTTAAGAAATCAATAATGATTTTATTTTTGAATAAAACATAAATTTGAAAAAAAAATATCAATGTTAATATCAAATCAACTATTTAAAATTTCTCATTTTTTATGTAATTTCTTTAATTTATTTTTTTATTGTAATTTAATTTAAGTTTAATAATGAAATAATTTATTTTTAGTTTAATAATATAAATTTATAAAGATAATAATTAAGTATTTTGTTAGAACTCAATGATTATCCTAATTATGTTTTAGATTTTTTATATTTAAAATAAGATATTTATCTTGTATTTGATTATATTTATCTGCAGTTAGTTACACGAATTCAGATATGGAGCTTTAATAACTTGTACTTACGCACAATCTACTTGCAATCTTGAGTTTTAAGTAATATGCATTAATAAACAGTACTTTACGCATAAAAAGTGATTTTTAAAAGTTTTTGTCAAATGTTTTATAATATAGTATAGATACATTATTTTTTATGTCAGAATCAGATCAAATCATGTATTGAAAATATAAAAAAATAAATTTTGATTTTAATATATGTAAAAAGAAAATTAGTAAATAGGAATGCATTTAACCCGTCCCTTAAAAAAAACGTGTATTTGATCACATAAATAAAATGTTTTCTTATCTGTCTTCTTAAAATGAAAACTAAAGCAAAGTTGGCAATTTTTGGGTGCGATTTAGCATATTCTTTAGACCGTTACTCACAACCAAAAATTAAAAATAAAATAAAACAAAATTTCGTGCATGTTGTGAAAAATATTGTTTACAAACCTTGACCAACGGATCTGTTGAATCATCAAGAACTTGGATCACGATTCGATCGGACGGCCATGAAAGCCCACATGCAGCTCCAATGGAAAGCTGATAAACCTGTTTACAAAATAAACAAAGAACACTAAAAAACAAAAACAAAAACAGACTGCAATGGCGAACTGAAAACAAGCAAACCTCTTTTTCATTGAACATCGGGACTTGAACAAGAACCAGAGGATAAACAGAATGACCCAATTCAACATCATCTTTGAATGGTTCCCATTTGTATCGTTTCTCTGTTTTTCTTCCAGTTAATTTGATGAACAGAGTCACCATAGCCATATAAACCTTCTCTGTGAACAACATTATCGACATCACCAAACAAACATACATCAAAATTCTCAGAAATGGCACCACAAATGGGGCTTTTAGTTGAGCCCATATCAGCATGATTCGACCCACGATATCGTCTCGTGAACCCGTAAACGATCCCGGAAGAAACCCGATAGTACTCGAAATGCTCTCCATTTTGCTCTGTTTCTTGGAAGAACAAGAAACTGTTGAAAACAGAGGATGCTCTGTTTTTGTTGCTTACTAAAACAGAGAAAGAAGAACAAGTTTTTTCTGTTTTGGGAATGGAATTTAATTGGAAACAGAGCCAAAAAAATGTGGGATTTAGAGGAAACCCAATAGATTTGAGAACAAAAAGAACATTTCTACTTTTGGGAATTTGGTGCTTCAAAAGTAAAGATTTCTTAAACACACAAAATATGGAAAACAGAAAGGTTCCTGCTTCTGCAATCAGAAGCAGAAACAGAAGTTTGCCCTCCAACAAACAGAGAGAGTGAGAGATAAAGAGGGTGGAGTGGAAAGAGGGAGAGGGGATGGGCTTTTAAAGGTGGAAAGTTTGGTTGTTTTTTGTTTTTCTCTTTACATTTTTGTATGTCTGAACTTTTTTTTTATTATTAACCTAGAATTCTAATCCGCTATGTGACCCGACTAATCTCAGGATGACTAACTGCTTTGCAAGTAGCCCAGAGTTATTGCATTTGAACCTCCGGACACTTTTGACCTTTGGAGTCAAACTCAAGCCAATCAGGCACCACCATTATGGTTGTATCTCTAAACTTTTAGAGTAGTTCAACTGGTAAAACATTAGGTTGAGTTCTTTCAAGACCACCAGAAATTTGAAATTTGTCTGACTTTTAACTTTTTAGTACTGTGAGATTAGTGGAGGTTTGTACAAGTTGTCTTAAACACCCACGATTATAAAAACCAAAAATAGCCGTCAACGAGTAAATAGCAAGTAAAAAAGTCAATCAGAATTGTAAGGATTTTAAAAGGCATCAATAACTACTGTTAAATCGCTCAATTATTTTATATATAACAATTCACACATTTTTCTTTCACATTTGATGGAAAAAACCAATAAAAAGTTGTTTTTATTATTAATGGCTTTTTTTCTCTATCATAAATAGTTTTTGTGTGTGTATTTGTTTGCTTTAAAGGGGGTGGTGTTTGCAAACCCACACGACATAAAAACTGGTGCAACTACTACAAGTGTGAGGCCCCAATACAAACAAATAATACAACCACATTTAAAACCAAAGTAAATATGTTACTAATTACCATTTAATAATAGTTTGAACCAATTACATTTTTCATCCCTGTACTTTGTTAACATTTGTCATTTTCATCCTTGTGTTATTGAAATTACGCTTTTCATCCTTCGTGTCTGTTTAAAATTTATTGTTGTTTTCATCTTTGTGATTTACAAATGAATTGATCGTTGTTTTTGTCTCTATGATTTACAATTTATTGTTATTTTCGTCTCTTATACTTAACAGTAAAATACCATGCTATTTTAATGACCGAAAAATATTACATTTATAATAATAATAAAGTAAATGAGGATAATGACTTTAAACAAACGTTTAATTGGTTAGCGGTACGGAGCCAAAAGTTAGGCACAAGGAACCCAATGAACACTAAAAAAATAAATACATTTTCCTTGTAGTTTTTTTATTTAAATTTATTGACTTCATTAAAAAAAAAAAACTTTATATTATTATTTTGACCTGTTGACCCTACTTTGTTATTTATATACTTATAAAATATTTGTCTTTTAGTCTTATTTGTGTAAATGGTATTTATATGTTTAGGAAGTTAGGGTTTGATGTTAATGTGGTAATTACTTAATATTATTTATATGTTTAGAGCAGTAGGTTATTATTGGTCTTGGAAGGGTAATGACTATCATATGAAGTGTTTACAGAATGTGAGAGACTGAAATAAATAAGATTGTATCCTTTCAGATTTGAAGAACTGAGATAGTCTTCAGATGCCGATTTTGCCTAAGAAACCATCACTCAGGAATTCCTGTCATGAAGGTTGAGTTGCAACATTGTCAATGGTCTCCTTTTAAATTAATGCATGTTTGTACTCTTCATTTCAGCATTTGACTTCGAGTATGATGTAGATTAGAAATGGCCAGAAACCAGTTCTGGGCTGGGTTAGGCCCAAACCGGTTCCGGTCCCAACCAAGAACCCATGGTGCGGTCTCCTTTAACCGTAAACGGTCCTTAGAACAAGGCTAGGTCCTGGGCCACGCCCACCTTCGTTCCTAAGTTTTTTTTTTCAAGAAATAATTTTGAACATATAAAAAAAATCTTGTTTGATGATTTTCTTTTTTTGGACAATATTCTAATAAATACACTTTAAAATCTCGAATTGCGTCATTTAAATACACTTTAAATATTTTTCTAATTTTTTTATAAAAAATATTATACATGCTTTTATAATTACGATTTTTGAAATTTATTATTGAAACACTTAAAAAACTTTGAAACTTTTCCAAAAGAACTTGGATAACTCGAAATAAACTTGACGCTCTTGGCAAGAAAAAAAAACTTGAAAATCTTGATATGTAATTTATAGAAACTATTTTTTTTAAATGGGGCCTATGTATAACCGGTCTCGTGTCGGGCCAGGCTTTGATTTTTCGCAAATCCATAACCGGCTATGAACTATCAGGCAGGTCCCAATCCGGTCCTAGCTCGGCCAATTTTGGCCATTTCTAATGTAGACTTTTGTTAACATAGTCCATCTTTTAGTATGCAGAGGAAAAAGTAATGAAAATATGATACTAATTTTAAACTTTTTTAGTCTGATATGTCGAACATATTTTCATACCAGGACAAGAGTTGATAGAGTTTGTGAGTCAAACTTGTTGGTTAAGTTTGCACTCAAAAATCAACTTATCAAAAACAATATTTGTCAAACTGTTTTTGACTTCGTCTTACATTGGTCTTCAATAACAATCCGATTCCTTTTGATTTCATTTCAACTAGTCTTTGATTTTGTTGAAGGCATTTTGCTTTTGGACCAATATAGATAATTAATAAGATTTTTACGATAAAAATCATAATCAATTTTTCTCTTCGAAATATAAACTATATTTCGAAAATGCATGTCATTCAAATCCTGCAAGAAATTTCGGATGGTAATCATGATTTCAGATTTGATTAAGATCTGGAATGCTCTTATCCAAATTGGTTTCCAGATTGCAAATTCGGATATTCTTAAATCCAATAAGCATATCAGCTTTATGAATCTTTACTCAAATAATATTTGTAAGTGTTGTATTGGATGTGTTTGTGTTGTTATCAAATGAAATAGTTGAGAGCAACATTTACAGTTTACTGAAATGTAACTTGTTTTATTATTGAAAAAATAGATTGATTTCAGAAAAGGAAAATATCAACATAGTGGTGGAATTATGCAATCAACATAGTGGTGGAAAATATCAACTTGTTCTGGGACCACCAGTGTCAGTTAGTATTCGTAAATATTTCGTATGAGTTTATGAGAAAGCTTTAGCTTTGGCAAATAAGGCAAAAGAAGTCCCTTATAGGAGGTAAGGTAGCTCCAAGCTATGTGGGATGGAACAGTGGTATTTGTTCTAGGTTCATGAAGCAATCAATTGAAATGTGAACAGGATTAGGTACAACATTAATTAAGCACAATCATCAATTTCTTGAGATAAACCTCACTGGAGGTGAGTAGTCATCCATGACGATTTTCAGACTTCTCAACCATATCTATTAGCAAGTCCATTATATATAATGTTCAGTATTGTTGGGGCATTCCACAAGTCAAAAGGTGTTCGCGAAAAGCAAAGGTAGTTCATGGGTAACTGAACATGGTATTTTCTTGATTATATCTTGAATGACCATCCAAGAAACAAGAACAATATTGTTGGCGAGCAAACATCTGTATTATTATGCGATTGATAAGAATTGAGGGAAATGGTCCTTCCTAGTCATCGAATTTAACTTATAGTAAATAATGCACACAATAATGATAGGATGAGTGATGACCTTTTCTCCCTCCTTGTACTCGATGAATGTGATTCTAGGAGTTTTATATGTTTTTTTTAGTGAGATTCACCCGAGAGCTATCAGAAATTGTATACACCATCCCAACATCCAACCACTTCATACCCTTTTTTACCTTCATGCATCTTTGGATATAACCCACATTGGAGGTGTTTATAGGGCTTAGCTGTATGTACTACATGAATGTGGTGCACGCACAAGGGCTAGCACCTTTTCCCACATTAGAGGCGTTTATAGGGCTTAGCTCTATGTACTACATGAAGGTGGTGCACACATGGGGGCTAGCACCTTTTAGTTCTACAACTCACCACCTTATAGCCACTTTCTTCTATTTTGAGTACCAGGACTAAATGACTCTCCTTGTCTTTATCAAGGCTAGATGATATAATTCTTGGTAATCTCTTGTTAGAATGAAGATAGACATATTTGAGCAAATTGAGTAAGACTTTAAGCTCTAAACTATATGATTTAATAAGTACTTAGCAGGTTCGTAAGATATACAAAGTCGATAAAGGATCAAATTATATGATCATGAAAGCTGGATGATGTTATCGTACTGCTTCATAATGATTAAACCTCCACCATACCAAGATCATCAAACTCATATTGAAATAGACCAAGTTCATCAAGCCCATATTCAACTAGACAAAGATCATCAACCTCTTCTTTCTTTTTCTATGAAAACAAAGTGATTGATTTGTGTCCTCCGTCCATCCGATATCTATATTCTACTATGTCATTCGTCAATGACAACTTAATATAAATAATATAAAGTCAAATAGTTATATCGAAATTTATACATCCAATCATAATCTGTAAAATCATCTATTTCGAAATTGGAATCCTCTCAACGAGCACAACCAAGTTTCCATCCATTTCCGAGATTACATTTTTCAAACTCACACACATTGTTTGTTAAGTTACCCATTTTAATTCGTTCTAACAACTTACAGTAACATATTATGTAAGATTGCATATTTTTTGGTCTTATAAAAAAACTTTATTGCACAGTATTCAAATAAGATAATTGTATTCAACCTAACCTACTATTTTGGATATAATGTTTTGAGGGGTAAAAAGTATGATAAAATTACTTAATTTTGAGTTTTCTTGTAAACTAGTTACTACGTTAGAATATCTGATTTTAAAGAGTCTCCTCCAGATATAGAAAATATCTCTGATACAAAAAGTATCGTGCAGAAGGTAATAAAACGAGTTGAAAAAGATTTTATTAATCAGACAAAATGATGAAATAAAAGATGATTATAAAAGGAGATAATTAATTATGCATCCCATG